TATGCTTTACACTTGACTTTTCTGTCTGAAACTTGACAAGGACCAATAAGGAAGTATCTGTCTGCACAAGCCCATAGCCCGTTCAGTCTGCGTGTTACCAATCAAATTTGAAATGATATTTTACTTTGGACAATATTTCTATTTTCTTTCTCAAAATAACAAAAAAGAAGTTAAATAAATAAATGTTGACAATAAAGAATTAAATTCAATGGGAAAAAACGTAAATTATTGACTGAAAAACTGTAGGCTGAAGCTTAAGACACTGCATATTTTAAATAGCAAAGATTTTTCTGACTAGATGTCATCAAAACAAACATGCTCAACTAAATTGTAACATTTTAAGATGTGTAGTTTATTGAATATTCACTTTGTTGGTTTATAATAATCCATTCCATTTATAATTCTTAGAGCTTTCGTGTGTAGCATATACAGTGGATTAGTGTTGGTGTTGCATAAGTTGAACCATACTTCCACAGAGTAGATCACATATGGAACCGAGCTTGCTATTTGGAAGCTATGAAATATATGAAACATGAAATCACACAATGCCAGTACATTAGATCTCTGTAATATCTCAAAATGATGACGGCTGTCATTCATTTACTTGCATAGCCATTGGATAGGGCATAAAATATTATCCTAAATATCCTATTCAAGACATAAATCATTCTCATGCTAGAGTCAATTACAGATGATGCAAAAACAGCATAACTCATGTCATGCTCTGATACTTGCACCATATTAGTGTCTCTTTTCATCAGAGCTAAACAAATACAGTGTGATATGGAGCGAAAGCAGGCTGGTGATCTGAAAGAAAGAGGCACTTTTTTTTTCCTGTTTTGAAAGTGACTGCAAGTTGAAATGTGTGAGCAAAATCCCAGTATCGATTCCAGTTACACCCTAATCTCAAGTCAGAAAACCCATTAACATGAACCTCCGGCAAACCAATGCATCTCCATTAGGCTCCTTCTATTGTGGTGTGCCGCAACAAATTCATTCATTTGAACTCCCTACTGCACAGCCAAGCCCATGACTCAAGACATGGTGCTGACAACATCACTGTAACCAACAGACACTTTTTTTTCAATCTGGGGAGTAAAACCTCATTATGTTTCCAAATGATTAAGCCTGTGGACAGGTGATGGAGTGGAACAGAAATACTACTCTATGCTATATCATAGCAGTAGCAGAAAATAATACCCTGAAAATAAATCAAATCTAATCAAAACAAAATACGTAATGCACAAACAGTTTTCTTGCCAAACATGAGCAACAGTGGAAAGTATTAGTTCGCATGATGCTAACCAACTAACAAGCACGGTCTACTTACTATTTGAGAATGTATATGAATGAATGTTTCGAGCCTTGGGGCTCCCGTGTTTTTCAGGATT